CAGGCCCCCCTTCGCCGCACAAGGAATGCGTTTGTAAAGGCTGCTGCACAAGGGTTTAAATTGCGGAACGTCTGCACCATAATAATGCCGACAGACACAGGTCTTCCTAGCTTTTCCCTATTTTCCTTGTGAGAAACACAAAGCTGTCAGCTGTTGTATGTTTTGCATGGTTTCCCTGTTCTCCTCTTTAGCTTTCCTGGGCTCAAGGTGCCGCCACTGCAGATCCCACCACAGTGAAAACGCTGTTGTAATGCCGCCACGAAATGATTTCGTTTGCAAAAGGCTGTTACAAAAGGATTCTAATTGTGAAGGCCACTGCAGATCCCCCACATTTGAAATCCTTGTGTAAGGTCGCTACTCAAGGAATCCGTTTGTAAAGGCTGCTGCAAGAGGATTATAAGTGTGGAGCGTCTGCACCATAATAATGCTGACAGACACAGGTCTTCCTAGCTTTTTCCTAATCTTCCCTGTGAAAACACATGCTCTTTCATGTTTTTGATGTTTTTTCCTGTTTTCCTCTCCAGCTTTCCTGGGCTCAAGGTGCCGCCACTGCAGATCCCCCCACAGTGAAAACGCTGTTGTAAGGCCGCCGCAAAAGAATTCCCTTTGTAAAGCTGCTATAAAAGGCTTCTAATTGTGAAGGCCAGTGCAGGTCCCCCTCACTTGAGTTCCTTGTGTAAGGTCGGCACACAAGGAGTCCTTTTGTAAAGGCTGCTACACACGAATTTTTAAGTGTGGAACGTCTGCACCACAGAAGTACCGACAGTCACAGGTTCTTTGCATGTGGAAACACATTATTTGTCATGTTTGTTCCTTGTATGATGATGCTGCGTATGATGCAGGTGATGATGATGATGATGATGATGATGATGACGATGATGATGATGATGATGATGATGATGATGATGATGAGCAAGATCATGATGACTATGATTGTCATGATGATGATGATGATGATCGTGATGATGATGATGATGATGATGATGATGATCATGATGATGATGATCATGATGATGATCATGATGATGAGGAGGATGCGCACATTGCGAGACAGGAGGGCCTCACAGCGTTCCCCTTTCCTCTAGGGGGGGGGGTAGGGGGGAGACATAATGCTGCATAACGATACCATAAATAGCTACTCTGCAATCGTTGGACTCATAGAATACGTTGTATTATCGCCTCCGCAGAAAACGCTGCTGCTCAGCACGTCACTTCCGGAACTGGATTCTTAGGCTTACGCCGCGCCGCCGACCCCATGGTGGGTATTGGGGCCGGCTTGGGGGCCCCTTGGAGCGCCAGCGTCGGAAAGTCGAAGACGAGGGAGGCCCAAAAACTTGCAACAATGCATGCGACAGTTGCAATTTTCGCCTCGTGGGGCCTCTTGGGTTCGAGGCGGGTTCCCTGGGCCGTCGAGGGGCCAACTCTTGTTCGTCTGTGGGCGCTCTTTTGGCGACTCGGTGCCTTCCCAGATTGTCTTGGGCCTAGGCCTGGGGGCCCCCCCCCCTAAGCAGACTCTTCCCTTACCATTTCGCTGTTTTCCTCGCCCCCTGAAAGGTCGAGGCCCATTCCATCAGTTAGAGCTCGACGAGAGCTTCAAGACGGCGGCGCTAATGCGCCGCTCGGCCTTCTGTGGGCCGCGTTCGGGCTCCGGGACCGAGTCGACAGAATGGTCAAGGATGCGAGCCATCACGAGGCCCCTCCCCTTATCACAGGGGGATCGCCCCGCCATGGGGCTACGGTCCTCGCGAGGGGGTGCGAATGGGCGCGAAGGTGCCGTGGGAACGCTGCCGCTGGGGCCGTCGGTGGAGCCCCCTTGTGGAGGCCACGGCCCTCGTGAGGGGGTGTGCCGAACTGGGCGCGGCGCTGCCGTGCGCCTTGGATCCTGCACCTCCCATGTCGGGTGTAAAATTTTCCAGCAGGAGCAAAGCTCTCCTCGTCCTCCTCCTCCTCCTCGCCTTCCCGTTCGTCCTCGTCCTGCTTCTCCCCCTCCTCATCTTCCTCCTTTCCCACCTCCTCCCCGCTCCCGTTGCGAAGCGAACGTGAAGCGTAGCGCGCATGCGCCAGTGGGGGGATGCAGGACAACCGGCGCACCGGAATCCTAAGTCTAGTTTTGCGCGGACTTCCGTGCGAAGCCAGCTCGAGATAGGGGGGGGGAACACGCTGCCTGCCCACCTCAACTTGGGGTGGTTGGATAGGCCGCGGAAACGGCCCTGAACAGCAACAGCAATACAGTCGGCCCAGATTAGTAGGTCGACCCTGCCAGATCAAGGGTACCCTTGTGTCCTGTGTCTCGCGATCCATGCTTCCTACATTCCTATGGCAATGTGGCCCTCGGAAGGGTCTTGTGTCCTCTTGCGTGTCCTGTCCAATCGAGTCCGACTGTAGCAACACTAGCATCACTAGTACCACACCTCAATTCGACGCCACAACGAGAAAGCAAGAGCAATGAAAACCAACATCAAGGAACAACTCGCGCAACAACAACATGAGCTAGCGCCCAATTCAAAACACTCAAGTCTCCGTAGCTTCTTTGGGTCAATACACATCTCCCGCGTTCAGGGCAAGCGACACTGTCATTTGATATCGTGTAAGTTCCAATGGGGCTACTGAGCATGCTGGCGGAACTGACGGCTGCGCTTGTGGCAGTCGCATGTGCAAGGGGGGATGGCTTCGATTCCAGCCTGATGCAGATTGCGGCAGTGGAAAAAACCCAAGAACAAACGAACGAACAATGGACGCGCATTGCATATTCTGATCCCTCCATTTCGCAAACTTTAATTGCATTGCTTCGATCACTCCGCCAGCCCATCTGGCATCGACGGGGCTGCGTGGCTGTGTGGGTGTGAGGCCACTCGGATATCTGATGGGCTCTCGTGGGAGGCGTTTCCGGGGCGCCTTGGAGGCAGTTTGGGGGACTCTTGGGGGCCTCTTGTAGGCTCCTGGGGCCTCTTCGGGCCTCTCGGAGCCCCCTTTGGGCGGAAGGCTCGGATTTCCCAATCGCGTTCCTCCTTCTTTGGGCCATCTAGGGCGTCTATTGGCACGTCTTGGGAGCCCTTGGACCGTCTTGGGCGCCTCCTGGGGGCCTCTTTGGCCGTCTGGGAACGATCTTCGGAGTCTCTCGGGCCGTCTGGGAGAGTCAAGGCGCCGAAAAGCGAAGAGGGCCGACCACTTAACCTTACAATACAACGGAGAATCCGTGATTCTCCTTCTCGGGGCCCTCTCGGGAGTGCCGTTGGAAACGTTCTGGCGGCCTCTCGGGCAGTCGTGGCGCCGTCTGGGGCATTTGGGGCCGATCTTTTGGGGGCGCTGGTCCCTCTTGGTCCAGTTCTGGCGCCCTCTTCAGGCCGTCTGTGGCAGCTCTTGGGCCGTCTTGGGGGCCTCCGGCATTTCTGTCGGGGATCGGCCAGGACCTTGCTGGGACCATCCCGGGATTTTGCCAGGACTGTTCTGGGACCTCGCCGGGGTGTTCGCCACCCCAGGACCCCCAGGCGCGGCTAGGCGCGCGCGAACTAGAACAGTGCTCAGTGCTCAATTGTTATCGGAGGTCTGAGCACGCTTGTGGTCCGTTGGGCTGGCGAATTTTGGACATGGCGCTCCAAGACATACAAGCTCTTGCCGCAGGCGCGACGCGGGTCCGCATAAATTCAGTTGGGGATCCTAACGATGGCGTTGTGAGCACGGCGAACACTTGGCCCATTGAAGATGTTCGCTTGGGCCGAAGCATTGGGGCCGCCCGCACGATATCATCGACACAAGTATCAGCAATTTGGTCAGGCACGCAAGTCAACCGCATGTGGAAGACATGCTCGGGGAACTATGTGGCTCTTGATGTCATGATTTACCAAGCGTGTGGAAATAATAATGGACTGCATTGGGCCAGTTCTACTTCGAAGTGGTCTTTGCTGGGGTCTACGGTGGGGCTTGAGCTCTACATTGACGCCGCGGCAAGCCCCAGTCCGACGCTCTCCCCGACGGCCAGCCCCACGCCCAGCCCCACGGCTAGTCCCTCGGCCAGTCCGACCTCCAGTCCCTCGCCCAGCCCCACGCCCAGCCCCACGCCCAGCCCCGCGCCCAGCCCTACGGCCAGCCCCACGGCCAGTCCCTCGGCCAGTCCGACGGCCAGTCCCTCGGTCAGTCCGACGCCCAGCCCCACGCCCAACCCCACGGCCAGTCCCTCGGCCAGTCCGACGGCCAGCCCCACGGTCATGTCGATGCCATTGACAGTCGCGGGCAAAGGCGACCCACATTTGGTGAATGTGCATGGCCAGAAGTTCGACCTCTACCAGCCTGGGGTGCACCCACTCATTCGAATTCCGAAAGCGACAAGAAAGACTACCGCTCTCCTCGTACTGGCGAGGGCGACTCAAATTGGGGACGGTTGCAACGATATGTATCTAATTGCCTTCGGCATGTTCCGCCACCGTGCCTCGATGATGCGTCAGAGGCGTCCTGGTTGTGGGTTGGGAGCTCGTGGTTGGCATCTTTAAGGCCTCTGGGGGGCAGATTCCAGGCCCCTGGAGGCCTCCTGGGGGCAGTTTTGGGGCCTCTTTGGGGCCTCTTGGGGACCTCTTAAGGGCCCCATCGGGGCTCCTCGGCGGGGCCCTAGGGGCCTCGTGGGGGGCCCCTCTTGGGGCGGGAGGGGGGGTAGTGGATTGTGGTACCCCCCTTGGAGGCCACGATCCTCCCGAGGGGCGTCGAAAACGAGCCCTCCCCGAAGTCATGGGCGACGTGGCGCAGAGCGGCGGAGGCCACGATCCTGTGGATGGGGTGTCAAAACGTGGACCTCCCCTCAGCTCGGGACCCCCCTCGGAGGCCACGATCCTCGTAAGGGGTGCCAAACCTCTCCAAAGTCACGCCTGGGAGACGCGGCGCGGCCCGGGAGATTTGGCAACGATTCCTCAGGAACGATCGCAGGGACCAGGAGGAGGAGGAGGAGGAGGAGGAGGAGGAGGAGGAGGAGGAGGAGGAGGAGGAGGAGTTGCATGGAGGAGTCCCAAGAGGCCGAATGGGGTCTCAGGACACGCCCACTCCGTGCAGGAGGGCACGGTGGCGGATTTTACGGAGGTCAACATCTCGGGCGTGTGGACGCGCCACCGAGCGTCGGGCCTCGCTTGGACCGTGGACTCCATCGGGCCAGGCCGCGCCAAGTGGAGCACCTTTCACAGCATACACGTGAAGGTTCGGAGAAGGAGAAGGTACCGATACCGCCACCCCACCGCCGCTGTGGCCCTCCTGGGCCTCCTGAACTTCCCTCAGGTCCCTCGCTGCCACGGCCGGATTCGCCTTGAGATTCTGACCAGAACGCACCCCAGGAGAGGTCCATGGGGGTAGCGGTATCGGTACTTTTTCGTCTCCCAAAGGTGGTCCGCGGGCATACCCTGGCTGGCACGAGGTATTTGAATGTCTTCGTGCGGGGACTTGACAAGGCCAAGTTTGCAATCGGGGGCCTCCTCGGAGAGGACGACCACACCGCTGCGAGCACGCGCAGCACCGACTGCAAGAAGACCGTGTCCTTGTGAGGCCCGCGCGCGCACCTGCAATGGACCCGCTGGCGATTCTGGGGCCCGTTCCCTCGAGCGCTGCGCGTTGCAGTCGGTCTCTGCGCTTGGATCACGAAGAGTCCGCATGGAGCGGGCTCCTGCCACTGAGGGCAGGGTTGGGCCTGTGCCGCCCTATTTCGGCGCGCCTTGACATTTTGTCCTCTGGGATTGCGGATGAAAAAAGCGCTTCATCCATAGTTCTTGATGCGATCGAGGGAGGTGCTTGTAGAACAGCGCGACTTTGGTCAGAGCACACTTTGAGGTCAGGGTCTTCGCTTCAGCGTGAGCAGGTGAGTTCGGGTTGCCGCGTTGGTTCTGGCAAGTCACCTAACCAGGAATGCTTTGCGTGCGCGGCTGCTGGGGACAGTCCAAACAGAACACATTAGCGTGGCGAAGGCCCAACGATACGAGAGCCCGAATGGGGCTCCGAAGTCCACCGCCGTGGCCTCCCGCATCGAATCGGCGTGCCCTTGGGTCCTTTGCCTAAGCCTTTGACCCTCAGCCCCCACTCCCGAGAATTTGTTAGGGGGGCCTGGATTACAGCTTCAACCAGAAGGTCCAAGAGGGACCCGAGTCGCCGACAGATTGCCCCAAGACGCCAAGAGTGCTTCAAGACCGCCCAGGAGGCTTCCATGACGCCCCGAGAGGCGTCACCAGAGGGCCCCGGGAGGCAGACTATGTTGATCATCTTGCTCTTTCGGTACGCCACCAAATCTGCGCTAGATTCCTCTCGCTTCGCGAGGTGCACGTCCGGATTGCGGAGAGCGCGGGCGTTTGGTTCGTTTTGGAAGATGTGCGTCGTTTCTCGTGGGCATCGATTTCAAGACACTTGGCTGATTTTGGGGAGCGCCCCCAAATCATCGCGCGCTTCGCGCGCGCGATGGTCCTAGCTAGGCTTGATCGGCTCACTCATGCAATCTCATTTTGGTCGCTTCTTGCGTCCAGGGACTCCCTTGGAGGCCCTGCGCAAGCTTCGGCATCGTATAGGAGGGGAAGTGCGGAAACGCAGAAATCATTAATTATCCTTCGGTATTCAGCGGTTCTTTTTGGGGAGGTGACGGGGGTCTGAATAGTGCTCTGTTGTGCAGGAGTAGACCCGGGGCCAAAATTGGAGAAAAAAAGGAATTGTGGGATTTCCATGTTTTTCCAGTTCCTCGGCGCTGTTCGGCGCTATTTTTTGTTTGTGCCTCGTGGGTTTTGTTAGCCGGGCCCCTCAGGGGTGTGGGAGCTTCCGGACCCCCTGGGGGTTCTGGAGGCCTCTTGGAGGCTTGGAGAGCCGTCGGAAGTGTGTCTCGCGCGGGAGCGTGTTGGGCCGTTCTTTACGCTCAGGGAGCTCCTTGTGTTCGTCTTCGGTTGTCCTTGGGCGTCTTGGGGGCCCCCCGGGAAGCTGGGAGGCACGGTGCCGGCCAGATGTCAGGGGATGTGTGAGATCTCCGTTGTTTGTTGTTCGTTGTCGTCGTCCCACCCGCCACTGGCCGCGACCCACCCGCGACCCACCTGCGACCCGCCTGCGATTCACCCGCGACCCACCCCGCGACCCACCCCGCGACCCACCCCCCGACCAACCTGCGACTCACCTGCGACCCACCCGCGACCCACCCGCGACCCACGCGGGACTCACCCGCGACCCACCCGCGACATCCGCGACCCACCCGCGACCAACCCGCGAGGCGCATCCACCCCTAAAGGGGTCGTACCTTAGGAGTCCCCATCCTCATGGGAATCCTGCCATAAGTGTATCCATCCACGCAGGGATCGTACCAGAGGGGCTTCCATCCGTATAGGGGCCGCACCAGGGGTGTATCCATCCCCATAGGGGGCGCGCCAGAGGTGCACCCATCCCTATATGGGGTCTACCAGATGTGTATCCACCCTAATGGGGGTCATACCAGAGGCGTACCCATCCGTATACGGATCGTGCCAGAGGAACATTCCATCCCTAGGGGGGTCCTGCCAGGGGGTTGGGGGGCATAAGGGCGCCTCGCGGTAGGGGATGAGCCTCCTCGTCCTCCTTCTTGGGGGACAGGGGAGGGGAAGGGAATCTCCTCCTCCTTCTCCTCCTACTCCTCCCATCCCGAAGGAAAGGGACAGGGAAATCTCATCCTCATTCGGCTCCCCCATTCTTCTACGGATGGAAAGGCAAGGGCATGGGCCGCATCCTCTACCTCCTTCCTGAGGGAAAGGAAGGGAATGGCCCTGCTCCTCCTCATATTCTTCTTCCTTCTGATGGAACTGGGCAGGAGGGGGACCTTCCTCTCCTCCCTGTCCTCCCTGAAGGAGAAGGGAGGAAAGGAGCGTCCCCCCCCTTCCTCCTCCTTCTGAGGGGAAGGGGAGGGAAGGGACATCCTCCTCCTCCTGTCATGAAGGGTAGGGAAAGGAAGGAACATGCCCTCCCCTTCCTAATGGAAAGGGACGGGAAGTGACCTCCTCATCCTCCTCCTCGTCGTCCTCCTCCTCCTTATCCTCCCCCTCCTTCCTGAGGGAAAAGGAAGGGGCGGAACCTCTCCCTCGCCCTTCTGAGGGAAAGGGGGAGGGAAGAAACCTCCCCACCATCCTCCTGCTTCCACAAGGAAAAGGGCAGGGAATGAACCTCCTCCTCGTCTTCCTTCATGAGATAACGGGACAAGGAGGAACCCCCTCCTCCTCCGTCCTGAAGGGAAGGGAAGGGCAGGAAGTTCCCCCTCCTCTTTCCTGAGGGAGAATGAAGGGAATGAGCCTCATCCTTTTCCTCCTCCTTTTGAGGGAAAGGGAAGCGAATGGCCTTCCTCGTCCTCCTCCGTCCTTGGGGACAGGGAAGGGGAGGGGACCTCCTCTTTTCTCCTGAGGGAAAGGAAAGGATTTGCTCCTCCCTTCCCCCCCCCCTCCTCCACATGAGGGAACGGGGCGGGGGGGGGGCCTCGTCCTCGTCCTTCCTCCAGAGGGAAAGGAGGGGAATGGGCCTCATCATCCTCTTCCTCCTCCTTCTGATGGAAATGGGCAGGAAGGGGGCCTCCTCCTTTCTTCCCTGAAGCAGAGGGAAGGGAAGGGACCGCCTTCCCAACCTTATCCTCCTCCTCCTCCTCCCCCTCCCCCTCCTCCTCCTCCTCCTTCTGAAGGAAACGGAATTGAAGGGACATTCTCCTCTTCCCCTGCCTTGAGGGAAAGGGAAATGAAGGACTGCCCCCCTCCTCTTCCCCGAGGGGAAGCAAAGGGAAGGGGGCTTCCTCCTCCTGAGTGAAAGGGAATGAACTGCGCCTCCTCATCCGCATCCTCCTTCCTGAAGGGTTGGGAAGGGTGGGGGAAATCCTCGTCCCCCCCCCCCCCCTCGTCCTCCTCCTCCTTCCGGAAGGAAGAGGGGGGATTGTAAGATGATTTAATGTCTCCTTTTCTGGGGTCCCTGTGTGTGTGTGTGTGTGTGCGTGCGTGCGTGCGTGCGTGCGTGCGCGCGCGCGTGTGTGTGTGTGTGTGTATGTGTGTGTGTGTGTGTGTGCGTGTGTGTGTGTGTGTGTGCGTGTGCGGGTCGCACATTGCTTCCCTTTGCGAGGAAATGTGCATTGATTTCCTTTGTTTTGGGGAGGGGGTTCAAATTGATTCCTTTTGCGTGGGGCTATAACCAGATTTCCTTTTGTGGCGGAATTGCGAATCGATTCCCATTGTGGGTGGTGGTGGTGGTGGGGTGGGGGGGGGGGGATGGGGGGTGGGGGGCTTCTATTTGTTTCGCTTTGAAGCGGAAGTGCAAACATATTTTCTTTGTGGAGGTTTACACATCGATTCCCTTTGTGTGAGGGGGTGCACATTGATTTTTTTTGTGGGGGTTGCAAATGGATTTCCTTTGTGGGCGTTTGAATATTGATTTCCTGTGTGGTGGAATTGCAAATCGATTCCCTTTGTTGGGGGTTACATATAGATTTCCTTTGTGATGGGGGTGCACATTTATTCCTTTCGCGGCGGAGGAAAAGGGGGGGGGTCTGGCCCCGGGGGAAAGGCCGCGGCAACAACAAAAAACTGACCCCTTCCAGGGCCAGGGGAATATATTTGCACCCCCACAATGAACATCTATCTGTAATCCCGCCACAAAGGGAATCGACATGTAGGCTCCGCATAGAGGGAGAGAGAGAGAGAGAGAGAGAAAGAGATAGAGAGACGCATGAGGTAAACACCGAAGAAGAGAAGACGGGTGCCCCCGCCTACATTCTTCGGGGCACGAACACCAGGGGCACCGATATGCGCGTGCACCCATATATACATATTCATATACACACGTAGATAAACGCACCCGAGCTGGCATGTCCCCCGCAGGAATTGCCAGGGGCATTTCATGCGTAGCGTCATATCCTGCGTGTGGAGTAGGCCGAAGTATGTCGTGAATGGTTTATAGATCTTGTGAATGCACTTGGTGCAGCGTCGCGCTGCCCGCTGGCAATGCCTCTGTCGAGCCATGAGTGCCGTGGAAGATTTATGACGTGTACATGTACATTTGTGTATAAATAACTAGTCATTTATGCATACATATACACAGACGTAGATGTGCACACCCCTGAACAGTCCAGGCAGGTGGCACGGTGGTTGCAGCGCGCAGCAGCAAGGGATGTGAAGCGCATGTACGCATGGAAGGTTTGTGCAGTTGGGCCAGTCTTTGCTTCTCCTTGTTCCTTTGAGGGACACTCCAGACGCAAGAGATCACCCCCGACCCGCAGCAGATGAGCATCTTGAACGCCGTCGCCGACAGGTGCGTCCAAGAGGCCAGAGAGCAAGACCAGCCGCGCGGATCGCCATGCTTTCGGCTGTTCGTTCTCTGTCTACCGGGATCAGGGAAGTTCCAGCTCATCCGGTGGCTGTGCGGCGAGGACGTGGGGTTGTTCCCCACGCGCATGGGATGGGAGCGCGAGGTGCGCTTCATGATGACGGCCCCGATGAATTCCATGGCGAGCAACATGGGTGGGGGGACCGCCCGCATCTTCAGCGAGCTCGGGATTGATCTCATCACGGGAGTCCAGTCAGGCGGGAAGAAGGACCCGGGGCTGTTTGAGAATTTGCTTCGCGCGAAAATCCAGCACATGCGCTGGCTTATCATCGACGAGATCGAGGGCGCGTCAGTGGAGCTGCTGGACGCCGTGCGCAGGCAGGTGAAGGACTCGACGAGAGAAGGGAAACCCGTGGGCTGTGGACGCCCGCGCCCCCAAACAGTTCGCCATGTTCGGCGGGCTGAACCTTGTGCTTCTCGGAGATTTGTGGCAGATCCCGCCCGTGGGGATATTGAGTATTGTTGCCGGTCCTTTTCCTAAGGCGGCCAGCCAACGTCGGCCGCATACTGGAGGTGTTCTGGACAGAGGGCTTGCCGCGCTCAGCAATTCGCC